CCTACACTTTTCCTGGAGGGAGAAAACTGTTTAAGGTTTTAGTTTTCTGTGTCTGAATGGCTGTTTGCATTTCTGTTGTGAGCCTCACGACATGGGTGATACGAATGAGAAGCGTGGCAGTAATGTCAGCTACAGAACAACCTTTACATGGGTCTTTACGTATTTCTGGAAATTCTTTCTCTTAAGCCTTGCTGAAATTCAATTAAAGGGTCACCGGTCCATCTGGCTTGTTCAGAAGTTTCCTAGGCACAAGTTTGTAGATGCACACAGGTATTGAGCATGCACGATGCAAAAACTCTTCCATGGAAAGGCTACTCTGCAATTTAATAATGGAATTTCCTGAGTTCACAGGGCAGGATTTTTGACCTTCTATGTAGTAGATTTATAACAAGTTGGATGTATAGTGCATTGTTTTTTCTTGTCCGTAATGTGTGTTCTTTGAAGGTATTAGTTACACCTCCTAGAGCTGAAAGTAGTCAGTTTTAAGTTTAATAATATTCAGCTTATTTGAGATACCTAGTGGGGATTATGCCTCGCTGGTATAGCCAGGTGTTTATCACCTACTAATAGAACTACTTTATAGATCAGCACTTCCGTTGTATCATGTTTCCTAACCACTGCTCAATATTTATGGAAGTGACTGTCTTTAGGGGAAGGATCTAGGCTGTGTGTGTAAAAGTGAGTAACTGTGTATGCTGCAGTCCAGAGGTAAATTGCAGGAAAGGCTTCCAATGGTTTAACATTAGATAGTATTTACTATCTGCTTCCTGAGAGTAAATTTATAAACAGTTACTTCGTAAATGATACGTTTAGCGACCTGGCTTTACTAGATGGCATCAAAAACCTGTTTAGAAAGAATTGTTACATGCATTACAAGTTTTGTTTATGATCACAGACATGTCATTCCTGGTTAAGAACTTAAATTCCTCTCTGGCATTTAAGAGTGTACAGAATAACGTGGGGGATTTCTTGCTGTACCTTCTACTCTGATAGTGATGACTGAATTTGCCTGGCTTTGTAAAAATGGTGGTTGTGGATATATATCTGGGTTTTTTCTTAATCTGAAAATACTATACATTCTGCGCTGATACAGAAAAACAGTGAAACGTGATCCTGATTTAAAACAGTGGATGTTTTCTTCCAATTGTCCTTAGGTCTCATTAGGTGGTGTTGATCTTACAGTGCGGGTCCTCACGACAGGTTACTGGCCTACTCAGTCAGCCACACCAAAGTGCAACATCCCTCCAGCTCCCAGACATGCTTTTGAAATATTTAGAAGGTATGTAGTAAACCAGGTTTTTAGGTAGAGGTTTTAAGAAGAAACTTTCTCAGTTTAACTTACAGGTATGTTCTACCATTGGAATTGGACACGGTAGCATACTGTTCTTTTTCAGTTCATGTGAAAATCAGAGAATGTCAATAGTCATGAGGCTAGAGTTTTTGGGAGCTTTTAATTCGATTCTAACGAGAGTTACTGTTTTGAAAAAGCAAAAAGTAGAAAATTCTTTGTCGTTAACGGCTATGGAAAGTCTGTGTAACTGTTTAAAGCAATTTCCTCCAAATACATAGTTCACATTTTGTATCTTAAGTTTTTGATTCAATTTTATTACAGGTTTTATTTAGCCAAACATAGTGGGCGGCAGCTGACACTCCAGCATCATATGGGTTCTGCAGATCTCAATGCCACTTTCTACGGGCCTGTTAAAAAGGTGAAGTATCAAGATTATGAAAATGTTGTGTCTTTTTTGAAAGTAAGTAAATGCACACTTGTAATAACTTCAGAATTTTGTGAAATAAAGCTTACCCATCGACAATATAACAGTAAGGAAAAAGAGGCCTTTGGTTGGCTTTATAGTGTGATTGTCCCTTTGTGCCAGTTTTGTTTTGACTCTTTTTTTTTTTTTCCCCCTCTAAATGAAACTTGAATGCCCCACTCAACATCATCTCTTTGGTACCTCATAGAAAAGTGGTAATTTTCATCTTGAAGGGACCTCAGTGTTTTGAGTCGTTTTGAGCTTGGGGTTTTTTTTTTAACTGAATCAGTCAGAAGTTTAATTAAACTTGCTTTTCTTTAGAGTAATTTTTATTGATGTGAAGAAGCATTAAACCAAGCTTAGCCTGCTTTTCAGACGCAGAGGGCTGGCACTGTAGACAGCCCTTTTTCAAACATGAGAATCTTAACAGAGTTTGTAGAAGTACAGTGCTTAATGTTTGTTTATACAAGTAAATAATTCGCTGGTGATTTAGACCAGTTCTGAGGTGCTGAGCTACAGGTAGTAATGGCATGATGCTGGGGAACGTAGAAGGCAGGGCAAAAGGAAAACAAAGTTTTTACCACACAAAGTATTAATAATGTGCATTTGTGAGGATGTTAATTGTGTTACTATAAGATAAATATTGTGATAACTTTAAAGATAAGAGTAAGCAAACTGGAGGATGGGCAAGTAGTGGACCAGGGGCCAGAGGTAGTGGAGTCTTTGTCCGTGGAGGTGCTCAGTATTTGGCTGGACACAGCCCTGGGCATCCTGCTCTGGAGGCCTGGCTTTGAGCGCTTGGCTGGACCATGGGACCTACAGAGCTGCCTCCAGCTTCAGTCAAACTGGGATGCTACAACAGCTCCTGGAGAGACATTCTGTTTATGCCACCAGGCGTGTGCTATTCTATCACTTGTGGAGACTGACCTCCTGCATGAATCTTTCATCATGAAACTTTCATCTCACCGCGTAAAACGTTTTGCAGCGGAGAATAATCTAATAGTAGCTTTGTAATTGTAAAATAGGAAGACGGCTCAGAGGTTGGCGTAGGAGGTGCCCAAGTAACTGGCTCAAACACACGGAAGCACATATTGCAAGTCTCCACTTTCCAGATGACGATATTAATGCTCTTCAACAACAGAGAAAAATACACATTTGAGGTAAGAGTTGTGGTTTTCTCACCAGATCTTAAATACGCTTTCAGAAATGTTAAAGTTGTGACTGTGGTTATTTCTAGGCCATAGAGCTGTAGAAAAGCTGAAGTTGGAATGCAGCAGGTGGCTCCATTTGCTCATTTTATCTTTGAGAAATTGGATTTAGAGGCCAAAGGGTGGAGAAGGGTTTGTATCCTGGCTTCTTAAATACTGAAAATTGGCAGGCTGGAGTGAGCTGTAGGATGAATCCAAGAACTTTCCATCCATTCCCTGAGTTGGTGAGCCAGAAAGGACAGTGAAGAAGGTCCCGAGAGATTTTGACAAGGAGACGAGAGGGGCATCTCTGGGGAAGGTTGAAGTGGTCAGCTGGTAGGTGATGAAGGCGGCGGCTTTGGGAGTGAGGAGGATTCTGCACTATGAGGGTTGGGGATTGTATTGTTAATGTCAATTAATAGTTTTGTTTTAGACATTACCTTCTGTGGGAGAACGCGTTGGCAGCCTGGAAAAGCAATGTGGGTGCAGTTTGAAACGGGGTGGACTTCCACGTTTTCTCCTCTGCTTTTGACTGTCCTGTGCACAGTAATCACTTGCCTTTTTGTTTGGATTTTGTTCTCAGCTTATTTGGCATGCTTCTAGCCTGTTAATAACGAATGTTTCTTTGAAACAGTCTCAGTTGGGATTAAGGAAGGCAGGGTTTGATAAGAGGCTCTTCATAAACTACTCATAGTTCAGAAAAAGATTATTTTAGAGCACAGAAAGTCCTGTGTGTTGTGAAATCTGTTGCAGGAGCATTACATCTTTTGAGTACTTTCTCTGCAGAGTACTTGGGGGGTGGGGGAGTGGGGAGGTGGGGAAGGAAGAAGGGGACTTAACAGCTCATTTTGTCTTGAAGATGGTGTTTGAAATGGGGCTGATGGCTACCTTATTCCACAGAACTGTAGGCTTTACTAGTAGTAGAGCCTGACCCACATGTGAATAGATCATACTTGGTAGAGCAGTGAAAATTACAATTTTGAATATGTACTCTAAATTTTAATTTATTTTACTAAGAGCAGTTGAGAGAGAAGTATGTTCATGTGCTTTAGATTGTGTATGTTTTGTTTATTTCTGGTTTGGGAGTTGTTAAACTCTGCCTGTGTGTCCCACTGTAACTAAAACATTAAGGGGAGGCATAGTTGTTTTGTTTGGTTTCTTTGGTGAAGTGTGTGGGAGTTGGCTTTAACTCCAGCCAGGAAAGCTTAGGAAAACTTCAGAGTAGAAAGAATTTTATCTTTGTTCATTGATTATTGAATACTGTGATTAATTGCCGGGTGCTGCCCAACGGTTATTTCTCTGGCATAGCAAATCAGTGATTTTACTGCCACACGGCTTGAGATGACTTGTGGGTGGGGGCTTTTTTAAGCAGAAAGCTGACTGATAGACAAGTGATTCTGCAGGTTCACAGCTGGACAGATGAATTTGAAGTGGCCTTCAGAGTTGAACAGACTTTGTTGTGCTTTCGGTGTGATTAGTTATTGCAAACTTGACAAGATCCTCACAGGAATCCTAATAGCCATTAAGCCATGTGATTGAGAGAAAAATGGGATAATGAAGATGCAAAAATTATGCATAAGAAGCTATGGAAACTTATAGAATTACTGCATGGCAATAGTTCCTTTACAGAAATGTATGAATTTGTGTTCCTGTGCAGCAACACTTTACTTAGATAGGCAGAAACTGGTGGCCGTATGGGTGTCGGTTAATGCCGCTGAATCCCAGCAGAAGGATCTTCATGCAGGCCTTCGGAGAATTCAGTTTCCAATAATCAAGTCTCATCTCTTAGTCAGCATATTTTTCTGGTACTTTACAGTGCATCTTGGTATTTTAAAAGGTGAAATGCACAACTTTTTAATTATGACATCAAAAATAAAGGGAAAATTTCTGGTACTTCAACAAAGAAGAAATGCAAATGCCATTGTAGTAGAAGTTTTGAGTAACTCCACAAAAATGAGTGATTGGAATTTGATTGGCTTACCTGTTTTTTCCTTTGGCGAGGTCTGTAAATCATTCTCTTTTAATGACATGATGTTTTTCCTTCTCATTTTCTTATGCACATGTTGATTCAAATCAACTTTCTTGTACAGAACTGGACATAGGCAGTTCCAAGCTTAGAGTTATCGCTTCTAGCCTCCGGATCAAGCTCACTTGGTGTTATTTTTAGAGCGACAATTGTGTAATCGGTACTGCTCTCATACGTGATTCCGGTGTGGGCTTTGACATTTTTTGAGATGGGGGGAAAAAAAACTATATAAATTTTTCACTATTACATCAAACATTGTGTAATCGGTACTGCTCTCATACATGATGGGCTTTGACATTTTTGGAGATGGGGGGAAAAAAACTATATGAATTTTTCACTATTACATCAAACGTCTATATAAAAATACAGTTAGAAATACGATATGCTACAACCTGAAAGAGAGAGAGAACAGGAACATATGTTATCCCCATTGACGTTCAAAGCTGTGCTGCTTCTGTCCAACTTGAAGTTTTCCCTTCTTCTGAGGCAGCGTATTGCCGCGCAATTCTTTGGTTCTGATTTTAATGCTCCCGAAACCCAAGTGGTTCATGTACGTTAGTGGCCGAATTGGGATGCTACGGGATGAAGTAAAATTTAAACCCAGAAAAACATGGTGGTTAGTACCCGGATGTTTAGCATCAGAAACCTTAAATTCCATTTTAGCTCTTTGTTTCACTTTCATCAAAAGCAGAGTGCCTGTATTTCGTTGTAAAAGGGATTTTGTTTTGAAATGGCTCATTTTAGGAGTTGATGAGAGATGGAAGTTTGTGAACCTGCGTGTCACAGGTATTAAGCTGGATTTGGTTTGTAGCTCGAGGTTTTAGATTTTAGGATTTAGGTAAATGTGTCTCCTTTGGTTTCTCTAAATTTATGTCCATTTCAGTAAGATTTTCTATTTGACCATGTAAAGGATTATAGCGTGTTGAGCTTTTTTTAATATTACTTTATGCTAGATCTGGAGGGAAAGAAGTCTGAAGGTGGCAATTGTGTTTTAAAATAAAGCAAAAATTAAGAAATAGTAACTTTCTGTGAGCTGCTTGGGAAGTGGTGTTTTGATACGAGCAAATAGGTAAAATATGTGGATACCTGTCACTTACTTCCAATACTATGAATATTTCTGTGTGCATTATGCTAAGAATACTCTTAACTTTAAGAACACTTTATTATTTCCCAGTCATTTTGAGTTCTAGACTTAATGATTTTTTTATTACCTCATTCAAGTGAATTTGAACTTGGGTCATAAATAATTTCAGATGATTTCACATGAAGTTAACATTGTACGTGTAAGATTTCAACCTGTAGTTGGAAAGTAAGGCGTACTGTGCCTGAGTCTTGGCATCAGAGACTTGGTAGTCGTGTACGAGATGCCTTGTAATGAACGGCAGAGCCCGAGCAGAGGGTGGCTGTTTTCTCTGGATTGATTTTAAGAAAAACTTGAGTACGCTCGGGAAATAACATCATTTAATAGCTGTTCGTTTATTTCTGGTTTGGGAGTTGTTAAACACTTACTTTGTGTCCCACTGTAACTAAAACATTAAAACAAGGCATAGTTGCTGCCTTAATAGTCTCCCCCGCCTCCCCTGTCAGTTTGACTTGCGTGCCATGAGGATTGGGAGTCTGTGGGGACAGTGGAAGAGCTTGATACTGCTCGTGGAACTGCAGGTGGGAAAGTGACAGCTCTTCTGGACGGTTACATGTCCGTGAGGTTTATTTCACCTCTTTGGTAGTTTAATCTTCAGCTGCTAGAGGTGCCTCGAGTCTGAAGGGAAATGTAAAATAGAAGATGCCTGCAGCTTGCTCAGCTAGAAAAAGGAAGAAAATAGAGATAAGGCTAAAACAAACTTCTTAGATTTATCAAATGGTTTGGGTTGGAAGGGACTTAAAAGACCATGCAGTTCCCACCCCCCTGCCATGGGCAGGGACACCTTGCACTAGACCAGGTTGCTCAGAGCCTCATCCAGCCTGGCCTTGAACACTTCCAGGGATGGGGCATCCACAGCTTCTCTGGGCACCCTGTCCCAGTGCTCCCCACCCTCTCCAGGAAGAACTTCTTCCTGATATCCAATCTAAACCTCCCCGCTTCCAACTTAAACCCGTTACCCCTTGTCCTGTCACTACAGGCCCTTGTAAAAAGTCCCCCCCAGCTTCCTTGTAGCCCCTTCAGGCACTGGAAGGTGCTGTAAGGTCTCCCCGGAGCCTTCTCTTCTCCAGGCTGAACAAGCCCAACTCTCTCAGCCTGTTCCCATGGCAGAGGGGCTCCAGCCCTCGGAGCATCTTCGTGGCCCTTCTTCCGGATGGGAGCTCAGTCAACAAGTTAGGTTTGAGGAAACAGTAGTAGTTGGCCTACTCCTAGAGCATGGTAAGACATCATTCTGCATCTGGTATGATTAGCTTACTAACTCATGGTCACCAGGGACTTACCTAACACACAGCCCTCGGCTGAACTCTCAGCAATATTGACAGGAGTGCAACAGATTGTATACGTTTTTTCAAATACTCTTCTTCAAAGTTCATACGTTTGCTGCACTGTGGTGGGGTTTTTTGTGTTTCACCTGGAGAAGTCCTAGCCAAGGGCATCTGGGCTGTAAATAAATTATTTCAGGTTGCTCAGAAAGGAGGTGTAATTAATCGGGAGTATTTCTGTGTTACGGTAAAACTAGCCATGGCTTGCTCCCATCTGTGGAGTTCTTACTTTCACCAGTGCTGCTGAATGCAGAAGGCATTTACGCAGTCCTTTGTCAGGAATGCTCGTGAACACCATGGGTGTTTTCCATCGCCGAGTGAGTTAGGTTTGGTTTCACTCTGTTCAGTAGATGTTGTAGATGGTGAACAAATCCTTTCAGCCTTCTCAAAAACCGTGCTGAAATGAAACATCTGGTTATTCGTTCTTCAATTTTCAGCTCGTGGTGACTATTTTCCATAATGCATATTGAGAGTTTGCTACTGAATGAATTCTGACCTATCAAGCCTCACAACTGTCATAGTAGTGTCTTGCATGCTTGAAGGTGGACATTTCAAGCCATCAGTGCTGCTCTTTGCAAGACGTGATACTTACTTCTGCCATAGCCATGAACTACTGAAGCTGTTTTTCTTTAGGAAATTCAACAGGAAACTGATATCCCCGAAAGAGAACTGGTTAGAGCCCTACAGTCCCTTGCGTGTGGCAAACCAACACAGCGTGTTCTTACAAAAGAGCCTAAATCAAAAGAAATAGAAAATGGTCATATATTCACAGTGAATGATCAGTTCACGTCTAAACTACACAGAGTCAAGATTCAGACAGGTAAGTGAGCTTTATGTTGTACTGTCTGGCAGTCCCAAAACTGCCTTAAAAGGTCAAATTATCTTTTCCAGGATTTATGTCCATACAAGTAAAAGGAAGAGAGTAATACATTTTTTGTGCATCACAATGAAAATTTTGATACTGGGAAGAGTGTGGAAATCAGTTAAGCCTTTTACTCTCCAAATAAAAAATTGTAATTATCTCTTAAAAGGAAATGGTAAAAGAGGAAGAAAACTCAAATGAAATAGTAAAATTTAAAATATGCTACTGATTCAGAAATAGGAAAGTTGCCGCATAAGTTGCTGTGCTGCTGTGAAATCGAGTGATGTTTTTAATCTATAATACACCAGGTAGCTGTAATGTTCTGGGCAGTGATTTGTGTGCAGCGAATATGAGAAGCTGATCAGTACAGCACCCCTTCAGCTCATCAGAGTGCTCGCTTGTGTTACACACAAGTAATGTTGACACCTTTTGTCTAGAAATCAATCTGGAATTCATTTCGGAGTTGTAGCATTGCTGTGCATACACTTTGTGGGATGTTTTGGGAGATTAGGTCTTGGTTTTAGTACCTCTAAAAATACTTAAGACTCTGCAGATGTCAGTACCTAAAATACAGTGTTTTAAGTGCAACATTGGCAATTTGCATGCTGTTTGCACGTAATATAACTCGTTGGGCTGTGCCGCACGCTGTGTAAGCGTGTAAAACCCCGTAGCGCCTGCGTACGTTACGCGGCGTTTATCCCTCGGCGGAAGCGACAGCTCGACCGCGCAGCACGCTGTGGTGTCAGTGTGTTTGCCACGGCTGGAGAACTTTTTGGGTGAGCAGGAGTGCAGCAGCCAAACGGGGAGGGTGAGAACCCCCTGATCAGGGCCCAAGGCACTTCCCTGGCATAGTTAAAGTAACTTCTGTGACAGTTGTTCAAGCCTTAGTGCAGTCGTGCTTTTTCACTTCCACTCCACAGACGTCTGTGAACGGGGAATATGATTTGGGATTCAAGATGGTTTTAGAGCAAATTGGATACTTGTGGGTTTATGTTTGTCTTGCACAGAAGATTTCTTATCGGTTTGAGAGAGATGCTCATGAAGGCCTGGGGCTTTTGAGTGAAGAAGGGCAGGGGGGAAGGTGGTGTAGCAGTGTAGGAGGAAGGCTACAGTGATGCTTGGGTAAAAGGGTAAGGCTTAAGGGCAAAAACAAACCATAAATAAGAGAACAGAATACCAAGAATTGGGTTGGAGAGGATCAAGTTGGGCTATTTCTTCTGACTGTTGAACTTTTAAAGTATTTAACTAGCTTGTGCAGTAAATGTTCAGTGCTTTTTTCCTGTTTTAATTAATGGGTCATTTGCTGTACTAAAGAGAAAAATATTTAATGGGAGCGTAGGGGTTGGTGGTGCCTGTAAGCAGTTTGATTACTGTTCAGGTTTTAACAGAGCGATAATTAAATAACAGATTGTTAACTTGTCAGTTGCTATCAAAACATGCCAGAAAGTGTTAATATGTTCTTGCGGCTGCTTTTCATTTAAAAAAAAAAAAATCAAGTTTGAGAATGTCAAAACTCAGGAAAATATAACTTGATGTCTAGATGAAAAAAAATAGTGAATGTAACACATGATGAAATTAACTTCAATTTTGTTAACACACTTTGCATTCTTTTAAGTTGCTGCCAAACAAGGAGAATCTGATCCAGAAAGGAAAGAAACAAGGCAGAAAGTAGACGATGACAGAAAACATGAGATAGAAGCTGCTATAGTTCGGATAATGAAATCTAGGAAGAAGATGCAGCACAACGTGCTAGTAGCAGAGGTATGCTTATACACCCTTCTGACACGGGCTTGGGAATCGTTTCTGCCATTCCTGTTAATGCATGGAAGCTACCCAGCGCTCACTAACACCGTTCCGAAGGGCTTTTGAAGGGTGCTGTACTTCATCCATGCTTTTTTTTTTTTCTTCCCAGTCTGTGTGAAGACATCTTAATTCTTACCCTTCACTTTAGGATGTACTCATGGGTATATCTAATTTTCCGTCCTCTTTTTAGTGCTCTTTATGTTAGCGAATTCCTTGAAATAACGGTTGGCGACAAAAAAAACACCGTATTTAACTATTTTTTGCTTTGATCTTGTTACTGGCTGTTGAGTCCAGGTTTGAGGGATTTGAGCTGTTAGCAGAGAGAGTCCCACTGCTCCTAACTCCCACGTTCTGACAGCAGTGCAGTAGTACGTGTTTTCCGCTCCTGATCTCCCTTGGGGCTGTGAAGTTGAGAGGATTCTCAGGTTGTGGCCGTGCCTCTGTAGTGGGTCAGTACTTGGAATTGTGCCTCAAAATGAGCAAGCAGCTGACGTGGGGGGAACTGCCAGAAGCGTGCAGCCTGCTTCTTACACAGCATGCTTGTAGCCAGCCCCGTCACAACACGTTTCTCTGACTGGTTTGGTCAGTTGGGATGTTCTTACTTGCCCTGTGGTCTCACGTTATTGTTTTTGATCTTACGTTTTAGGTAACTCAGCAGCTGAAGGCCCGATTCTTACCAAGTCCAGTTGTTATTAAAAAACGTATTGAAGGACTTATTGAGAGAGAATATTTGGCACGAACACCTGAGGATCGCAAAGTATACACTTACGTAGCATAAAATGCGTTCAGAAAATTTGATTTATTCTTGGACTATACTCTTCGCATGAACTGGGAAGTTCTTTTAAATCATTAATATTAAGACGACCATCTCTTCTATTAAATTACAATACATGTTCTAGACCGTTCAGATCAAGCCTTTTACTCCTTTTGAGAGTTTTCAACATCAATTGATTGAGCTTCAGGCTTTTCAACGTTATCCCTGTAGAGATCATCCTTACAATTCTTCGGGAAAATGTGAATGTGCCGCGTTTGTTTTCAATACTGTATGAAAACAGAAAAATAAAAACAAATTTAGAAAATACAGCTCATTTAAAAAAAAAAAGAAATAAAACTGTTGGAATTTCATTTCCCCACCTCTTCAGTGTTGATGTAAATGTGTTTCTGTAGTGTTGCTTAGCACTTCGCGCATTGTATAAGTTGGGTTTAAAAGAAACCACAACGGGTAAGGCAAAACTCCCAGTTATATTGCTCCGCTTCAAATGTTTCTTTAACTAGCCATGTTTAATTTAAATATTTGGTAATTTTTTGAAGACCCAAGAAGAAAACTTGAGCATGTTTTTCCTCTTCCAGCTGCAGTCACCGTTCCAGCAACATGAATCAGGAACTTCTCGGGGCTCAGAAAAGACCGTAATAATTTTGGCTTTCCCTTCTGTAATTTGAGTTCTTCTAAATTAAACTCTATATTGATTAGGTTTGTTCTGGTTTCTTTATAGGAAAAAGGAAAATATTTTAGTGTGTATAAACTGTATAATAATTTTTTGCTGTTGTAGTCACTGCTGATGGTGGATTGTACAGGGCGATGTTTTTATTTCACTAAATGTAGACAAAATAAATTTAAAATAAATGGATTTAGTGTACACAAACAACTAATTGAAGTGTGGTAGAGTACAGGGTTGACATTCCGTTGGAACTAAATACTGTCCCCTGGGGAAACGTACGGAAATTGTGTTTTGTTAATAAACATCAGAGATGGATCTGTAGCCCCAGGGCTTCCCATCCTAAGGGCGTATTTGAGGAGATTAAAGTGAAGCCAGCCTGCGCTATTTGTTTTTTAAAATGCATTTTAAACATGTGATTAAAATTGTTACCGTAATGAAATTTTTTTAGTTCTTACCCTGGAACTTTTTTTTCTTGTCAGTATGCTGCAAAGAGAGGTTAAAAACTGCAGTTCAGTGGCACTGTTATTCTCAGGGTTAGAAATTGTTTGAAGTGTGCATTGTACTATAGAGTCCTTCGTGCTGGCATTCCAGGGCACACTTCACGTGTTTCTCTGCCCTAGCTCTCTTTCTGTTTTAATTCAAAACAATATTTTTTTTCTTGGTTCACATTGCTTCCAACTGTAGATACTGAAAAATACAGTTGAGAGGGCTTCTTAGTAGGAAGAGTTGAAACAAAAAGAAAAACCTGGTCGTAGAGCATGAGGATGCTGCCAGAGGGTTCCTTGACAGGCTCTATTCAACGAGCGTGTGGTGGTGTAATGTAGCAGCGTGATTGGAGAGGATTTGTCGTCATCTGCCCCAAATTTCACCCCTCTCTAGCCTGTTAGGATACAAATCCTGACTATTGTTCAGTAGTAGGGTATTTCCTCTAATGAGAGGGCCCGGAATGGGGGTGATAATTCGGCTTGACTGTTCTGGAGCTTTTTTTAATAAGTGGTACTGAAGTTTAGTGCACACCCCCAACACACCCAGAGCAGGTGAGCTTTCGTCAGGGTGGAGGTGGCCGAGGGGCTTTTCCTGCTGTTGTTCATCAAGACTTTAGCCCCAAAAGAAAACAGCGAGGCCATTGGCCGTTCTCCAAACCTGTTTGCTGACCGTTACTCAAACAGCCGTGTGTCTCTGTCCTGTGTATGCAAAACTTGTTAGAAGTTGCCACAGCACATAGTACAGGCAGGTTGGGTGAGAGTCTGGGTTTGGGATTGTGTCTTAAGTCACCAGAAACATCTTCCTCAAAATGTTGGCTCACTTCCATGGTGTGAAGTTTTACTTTCACGCAGGTCTTGGTCATTAGTAGCACGAGGGTTGTGATAACTACATGTTGGCACTTCCCCATGTGAATTTTGGGGACAGATGGGCTGGTGTCCTTTTTGCCTGCGGAGCCTGCAGAGTTAGCAGTGTTGCTATCCGTGACAGGAGGACTTTGTCCCAGTGTGTGATCGTACTTGTGCTGTGCATCAGCCGCGGGCTGCTGCCTCTGGTGGCTTTTGGGAGTGCTGAGCCTGAACGTTACATGAACGACTGTATAATCGTGTGTTTACAGGTGTCTGGGGTTTGGTTTTTTGCAGGCTGTGTGTTTGCTGAGTTTACAAGAGTGTTTGCGAAGAGAAGAACAGGCTGTCTTCAGTAACAAATACTAAAAGTATAGTTTGCATTTTGAATTCAATAGAATGTCGAAGATGCTAATCACTCAGGAACGAACTTTTGCAGAAGTCACCTTTTGGGAATCTGCCCCTTCCCGCTGACCGACGCGATACCGAGGTTTTAGAGACAGAGAACGTGAAAACTGGTCAGAGCACGAGGCGTCACTAGAACTCTGCTTAAGGTGAGTTTGATGCTCGTGCTTCTACGCCGTTTGTGTACAGTCGCGAGGTTTCTTTCACAACCTGTAGTAGAACTACAGTGCCTTATCTAATTGCATTTTAGCTTCCCTTCTTAAGTGCCACTTTAAATTTTGTAATTTGCTAATGTGTCATCAGTAGGGTTGTATTATGTGCATGAGTGTAATTATTAGTTTGGTTTCTTTTGCATTAGTGTGCAGTTAAACGCAGTAATGACATAATAAACATGGAGTTGAATTCTTTAGAGATTTTAAAAGTAGGTTTTGAGTTGTGTGACCATTGGAAGATCCATAGGCATGTGCTTTCCTTGTAGGCAGGTTCACTTTGAAGGGTTGAGAGTACACTTCGTTTACCATCATCACAAATAAGATGATCCTGCGTACGCCTGGTTTCGTTTTTCTCTTTTCAACATTAGCTACCTTTACAGCTTTGACTTTTTTTATCTCATAGCATTGTTCCTTACAACTTCCCCATTTGCTACAGAACAAATGGATGTTAAGTGTGTCTGCAAAGCTGTCTGTCTTGGATTCAAACTTAACTCTTGGGTGAAATGTCTGTCCTCGCCCCCTTCCCTGAAGATAAACTTCCCCCTGTTGACCCTAAAGCTTTCCATGTGGTACTGTCCTTGCTACCTTTGGTCCTTGAGAATTGGCAGCTGCCGTAAGATTGACTCTTCTGGACCTGTGAAAACAGAAGCACTAAATATTCTGGAGGAGTGGAGTGTTTTTACTCGCGTGTATTGTGATCAGATTGTACAGCACCTGATGGGTGGCACGTAGATACCCCGCCCTGCCTGGTGATAAGAGCCCGTCATGGTGCACGATCTAGGGAATTGGTACAGGCCCGATGGTGTTCTTTATGTTGCACAGAGATGAGGCCCCCATTTTGTCAAATTAGCAAAAACTGCACAGAGAGGGTGGTGAGGCACTGGGACAGGTTGCCCAGAGAAGCTGTGGATGCCCCATCCCTGGAAGTGTCCAAGGCCAGGCTGGATGAGGCTTGGAGCAACCTGGTCTAGTGGAAGGTGTCCCTGCCCATGGCAGGGGGGTTGGAACTAGCCCATTGCCAAACCGTTCTGTGATTCTGTGATACTTGTGGCCTGTGGTTGTATGTCCAGCACTGGCCAGAACCGTTACAGCTGAACCATAAGCTCTGTCACCTGCCGTGGTTATCACACTGGCTAGAGGCGATCTGATCACCAGCTCCCCGTTCCTCCAAGCCCCTGTGCATCAGAGCGAGGATTTACCAGTCTGGAACTAGGCTCACGGTAGTGTGCAGAGCTGTAACAGGCATCGTCCTGTTTACGTCTGCTCAAGTCCAATTTCTCTTAATAGTCATTTTGATACCTTGGATAGTAAACGGAATAACCCGTGTGCTCAGCCTGAAGCACGAGTGTGATGGCTCTTCTGTCTTCTGGAATGTGTGGTCTGAAAAGTTTGTGAAATGCAGGACTTCATGTATATCCAGCTGAAAGCTGGATACAAGAACAGGAGAAAATTCACTTAACTCCTTCCTTCAGCATGTAGGGAAGTGTTCACGGAGTGCCCACGACCTGGCTGGACTGTTGTGAGTCTCTCAGCTGCCCCGATCCGTGTTGGGCCTCTCTGTCTGGCATGGCAGGAGTCAGTGTTAACGTAAACGTGCAAAGATGCTGCTCTAAGAGAAAATAGCGTCACACCTTTAACAAGCAGCTGAAGAGGCAGTGCCCGACAGCCCCACACCAGCGCAACCCCCCTTACCCGTTGCGGGCAGGGTGCGGACCTTCGGTGCAGCCTTCCCGGCGCGACTGGGCAGGCAGCTCGGAGGAGGCTGGCAGAGCGGTGCAGTTCAGACATCGCCTCCTCGCCTGGGTCCCAGCCTTGGGTTTGAATGCAGGCTTCCTAGAGCTAGAGTCTATACGTGCTGCTTTCCAAAATCAGCTTGCCTGGAGGAATGCGATTCCCAGCTTCACTCAGAGTGCAGTGGGAAGCAATTCCTTCAGGGGAACAAGCAACCGCGGTCTCTTGGCTGAGCACCCAGCAGTGGGCCGTGCAGCCTGGGACTTGGGGTGAATTCCTACAGATTTCAGCGGGCCTTTTCCCCAGGTGAGGTTACGAGACACAAACCAAACGACAGTACCAGTACAGTGCTGGTACTACAGCCCTGCTCCTCCGCGACCTCGGTGCTGTGCAGTGCCAGAGCAGACAGGCGCCCGCGGGGAACGCGTGTACGGCGGGGCTCTTGTGCAAGCTCAGTGTGAACGAAACCAACGGGTACCTTTGGTTCAGGGTGTCAGCCAGCCCCCACCTTTCACACGCCACCCAGGGAGCATCACGACGGCACCGCGCAGTTCCGTAGCGCTGCTGGATGAACCTGTGGAACAAGCCGCAGTGCCAGTGCGATCCTGCCCAGCACAGAGCTTGGTGTTAAAAGCCTCTATAAACTGCAGAGCCGCAGATGGTTATTAAGACACTCAAAGAACTGCAGAAGGCCTGCAGTACCTGCTGTGGCTCACAGGTCACCACAGCTCCCTAACACCGATCCAAAGAGGTGGCTACTGTAGGTAGAAGGGAAAGTAAATAATGACAGAATCACAGAACGGTTTGCGTTGGAAGGGACCTTAAAGACCATCCAGTTCCAACCCCCCTGCCATGGGCAGGG